CCAGGATCAGAAGCCCGCAGGGTGACAGGCGAGATTTCAAAGCTGAACAGCCCCGTGTGAAGCGAAGGCTCCAGGTGCAGGGGGCGCTGCTACATGTCCTAGAAATAAACCCGGTTTGGGCAAACGGTTGAATCCCCCGGCTGCCTTCACCGGAAAATGCAGCATCTGCAAATTGATGTCAGCTTCCAACGTTTGGAAAAATGTTCTTTGTGAATTACATCGGATGCCCCTCCAAATCAGTGTTCCAGTGGAAAGAGGGTCACAAAAACACATTTCTCTGAAAGAAAGCTGTCAGGTTGAAGAATCAATTAGATAATTTCCATTTCCCAGAGAAAGAGAAGCCTTCACACCCCAGGAATTATTAGTAGGTAAATTTCAGAAAAAAGTTAGAACAGGAGGCACTAAATTCGTGCTAATACGTGCTACTATTAAGTGCCTCCCAAGGAAATGACATGAAAAGCTGGTTAGACAGACGTAAGTCTAGACAAGGGAATGATGGTTCGTTATTTCTCATTTCTTGGTGAAAAAGAAAAATAGAATGTGGCCAGGCTGGCATTAGCATAATTCACTCTGAAAACTGCTGATCTATGCAGCACATTATGAGAGATGGACACTGAAAATAAATTCAGTCGGACTGTTTATTATTTGCTTCCCTGTCTGCAAGCAACTTGGGGAGAAAGAGTGGGTAGCACAGATGAAAGCCAAGTTCAGCTTCTGCCATTTGTGTGGGAGCTATGAAAGGAGCATGCACCTCGCCGGGGAGACGCCTTTTTCAAAGTGCTCCCGAGAAGGGCACTGGTTCGACTTAACATATGGCATAAATACTATTAATTCACAATGAAGCAGAGTCTAAACCAAAGTGGGAAGAAAAGAGAACCGTTGTTAGGGGGAGAAGATGCTTGTTGTTAAGTCTCACCAGCAAGATGGCACCTGCCCAGATAAATCTGAGAGTAGAGATTCTCGCCTTTTACCATTGAGTTGCTGCTGGGATTTCTTGGTACATTTTAAAAAGAAAAGTCTCCTATCAGTTTGCGCTATTTTGTCTACTTCTTGCCCCCATCCTTGGTTGTGACAGACACTAGATGGCGGGGAGGGGGCCTCGTTGCCGGGTCCGTCTGTTCTGGTGGCTCCTGTCCCCACCTGAAGACACCCTGTTTCATTCTCCTGTTCACTGCAGCTCCTACTAATGGCCTTGGCCACAGATTGCAAATGACGGCTGCAGGACCTAATAGTCTCTAACGTCACACAAATCGGCTTCTCGTGCAAATTTTCTTAATTATGGAGAACAAAGGGAAGGAAATCAGAAAGCCTATTACAGAGAGGCAGATTTGTAGTGATATTTTCAACCTCACCCCCCGCTCCATTCCAAGAGCCGTTTGGTTAGGCCTCTTCTTTGCTTTGGACCAGTCTCGATTCTGTTTTCTCTACAACGCTGTGTACTAACGAAGCAGCCCTCCTACCAGGTCCTCCTTGGCTCTCAGACTGCAAGTTAACTACTGATGGCCTCTATGGGCAGTCATGCCTTAACTAAATCCACAGAGTATTTAAAATTATTTTTTGAATTGCCAACTTTAACCTTTATATATATTGAGATTTTACAACAAAATTAGTGTGTTCATCTTCTTTTGAAAAACCCAAAGTTCTGGTGACAATAGACCTGGGGATAATGGCGCTTCCCTTAGGCCTGCACCCAGCTGCCCAGCCCTGCCCTCCCCACCCTTTCACAAGTAGCTCGCTTATGGCTACTCACTCTGGCTACCCCTGCCGGCAGCTGCGATTCCCAGGGCAAGCTGTTTTTCCTCCCCCCTAGTCCTATACTGCAGTAGAATTTTATTAGGATTGAAGAGGACGCTTTCCAGGCCTACTGTGGGTCCCTGCATGCTTCCCCAGGGCCCGAGTGCCCTCCTGACCAGGTTAGCCTGGATGATAAGCTTCTGACTTCCACACCTGGGTCACACCTGCAGTCCTTTTTCCGGCTATTTCTCCTGCCTGCATTGTGTGCATCTCCCCCTCACAGCCCAGAAGACTCCCCTGTATAGCTGCCCAGACTCTGTCTCCCCTGGATTCCACCAGGTGGACAAGGATTCCCCTTTCTCACTCCTCACCCTCTGATCCCAGCCCCGCTGGGGAGACCTCACACCCTGCCCAGACTCTGCCAAAGGATTGCACGGAGTTATTTACTGGTCATGGGCCTCTGTTAGACTGGGATCCTCTGGGACAGGCAGGGTTCTCAGTCTCTCTCTGAATGCCCAGTGGCTTTCAGGTGCTCAAGGAGAGGTGGAGACAGGGTAGATCTTGCAGGGCCAGGGTTTCACCCGGAGCCAAGAAGCTACCTCTTCATTCTTTCTGGCTTTGAACTGGGACTTTTGTGCAATGGGGCAGCGACTAGGGAGGGGCCAGGAAGTTCCTGCCTTGGCTCCAGAAGGGCAGCAGCGGTATCACGCAAGAGAAGAATCCTAGCTCGCCCAGCCTCATGGTCTGCCTGGGTCCCTGTGTCTTTCCACAGTGCCTCAAGAGGCTAATGATCTGTGTCCTTGTCTCTGAGCTATTTCTCTATGTTCCAGGGCCCAAGAATCACGAAGGAGAGGGACTGTCTACTTCTTTTTCTCTGTAATGGGATAACAGTATGCACAGTTAGAAAAGGTCTATTTTCCTGGATCCCTATGCAACTGGCCAATAAGATGGACAGTAGAAGTCACTGGATATGATTTCCAGGAAAGATTTTAAAGGGGTCTAATTCATCTGGCAGAGACCTTTGCTCTTTCTCCCTTCTTTCTGCCTGGAACTCGCTATGATGACTGGACTTCAAGCAGCCATACTGTGACCATAAGGCAACCCTGATAGGTCTCTTTTGGTGAAAATCAAATGCATTTCCTAAATGAGTCAGAGGGCATCATGTTAAGTTAAGCATTTTTAGGGCAATTAGTTAATGTGCCTTTTTTGAAAATTTCCACAGCTTAAGACAATTCTAAGTCTCCCATTTAACAAGCAGCTCCCATGAAAGAGGCATCGGGTAGGGTGCTCTCTGTATATTATCTCCCAACCTCGTGGCAACTGTGCAAGGCAGAAATGATCATCTCCATTTTGCAGCTGAGGAATTGAGACTCAGAAAACAAGGGATTTGCCCAAAGCCACACAGCTATTAAGTAACATGCTCCATTCAGACTGTCTGACCCCAAATCCAGGCAGGGTCCTTTGACTTTCCTTCCCCTAACATCTCCCACCTCCCAGATGAACACAAAGTCCTTCTCAAAATCACCCTGCAAATGCTGCTTCAGGTTGCCTCAATGGCAAAGATCGCTGCCAGTGTCTGTGTTTATCACTCTATGAAGAAAATCAGAAAGGGCTACTTAGAATCGTAAGCTTTATCTGGAGAAAACCTCTGGCAAAAATAGTTTCTGACCCAAGGCTTCTAATTCTTTGCTTTAGTGAATAAACTGTGAAAAGTGTGACTCTGAGGTACAAGCTGGAAATATTAAACCAATGACAAGAGAATGGCAGCTACACTGAGGGTCCTCAGAGACCTTTTTTGAAGTGCATGTGCTATTATTAGTGGTCAATGAGCGATTTCCTGTTGAAGCCAAGGCCCGGCTACTGGACAGGTCCAGGGTAATATGTTTGGCCATACTTAATGGTGGGAACCTACTTTGCACCTGACTCTGTGCAGGACCCCGTTTGTGTGTGTGTGTGTGTGTGTGTGTGTGTGTGTGAATTTACATAAAATACACACATTTTCATGGAATTCGTTGAACATTGTAGGAAGAAATCAACACTTATTGCTCACTGACCACACACTACGTGTTTCTGTGCACCCTTAACTATCTCACTCACACACACAATCTTAGGGCATAGGCGGCTTCAACCCCATTTTACGGGACATACAGGAGAAAGTCCTGGGAGGCTCAGGAAGGGTCGGAACCCGCCCTAGGGTTACACAGCCAAAGTGCTTCTATATTGCCCCAAAGTGCCCCATGGGGTAGAGGCCAATTAATGAGTAATCTTGGGAAAACGAGAGGCAATTTCTCACTTGGCAGGCTGCAGTAAGAATACTTCTTTGTTATCATATGTTTTATCTTTAAAATTTATGCAAATTTTGTATTATGCTCTATAATATAACCATGTTATTTTTATACTAGAACAAATGTATTAAATTATTTATTGGCTGAATTATTTAGCTTTTCCCTCCTGAAATTGACACTTTGGAAGGCTGTGCTTTGTTGCTTTGCTGTGGCTTTGTGAATACTGAACCCACAGACGTGCACCCCGGGGAGAACCCCAGATTAAGATGCACAAGGTCTGCCTGACTCCAAGGGGCAATTATTAATGTGGTTTTGGTGTGTCCCCCACCAAGAGTTCATGTGTGGGATGTGTGGTCCTCTGTGTGATGGTGTTGAGGTGGAGGGACCTTTAAGAAGTGGGGCCTAATGGCAGGTCCTTAGGTCATTGGGGGCTGTCATCAAAGGTAGCTCTTGTGGGACCCTGAATTTGTTCTTGGCAGAGCAAGTTGTTATAAGAATGAACCTGACCTATGAATTGCTCTCTAGTTTCCTGTCTGCAGGTGATCTCTTTCTCCTGCATGGATTCCTGTCATGACACCATCTGCCATTAGGCCCTCACCAGAGATCACACCAATGGGATCACCTGATCTTGGCCTTTTCACCTCTAAAACAAGCTAAATAAACCTCTTTTCTTTATAAAGTTACCCAGCGCCAGGCATTTTGTTTTAGTAATGAAAACCAGGCTAATATAACAGAACACAATTGTTTTTAACCAGGAACCTAAGGTTGTGAATGCTGTCACATAACATTTGTTAATTCATTCAACAAATAAAAGGTCACTATGTTCCAGGCTCAGTGCTAGCCAGTAGGTCAATCCAACCTCAAGTGGGGTACTGATCCAGCACCACAGTCTCCCAGGAGCAGTGGGAGAGATTTGACCAGCCAGATGTGAGACTGGACTCCACCCTACTCAAAGCCCAAGAGGAAGCTCAACTCACTGACCTTATGAAGGTACGAAAGCCGGTTGGTCCCAACTTCATTGTCCCCCTGATTCCCAGGAACCGGATAAACAAATTTGCCATCCTGTCCACCAGGCGCAGGTAGTTGAACTGCTTTGCGTACTTGGGGAACACCTGCTTGAGGCAAATGGAGGGCAGGTGGGCTTCAGGACTGGAGTCTGGGGCCAGGTCACTGTCCAGAGAGTCTTCCTTTCTGGCCACTGGTTTTTGGAGCTGCTGATACCTGAAGTACACAAGGAATTCATGATAAATATATATACAGCTCTCTCCCTGCAAGTTCGCCTTGGCTTTAGACCTACAATGACCTCAGGAAACCAGTATCATCACTATCTTTATTTTGCAGACCAGAAAACTGACCTCTGAGAAGTGACCTGCCCAGGCTCACCTAGCTTGTGTGTACTGGGGTTTGAACCCAGGGCAGAGACTGAACACCACCTCCATTCTGCCAGCCTGGTTTCCCAATATGGAAAACTTCCTTTACTGTATTCATACTTCAAGAGAAGGCTCCATTCCGGAGCAGTCTGGGTTTGATTTCCAACTCCTACTTATGGGTGGTAATTGAATAATTAAGAAATATAAAAATCTCATTGAGAGCTGGCAAGAAGCCATAGGCACAGTTCAATGAACAATTTGCAAGGATGCCTGAGTTTCCCAATTCTAGGAATAGGAACAATCACATTTTCTGGCTTAACTGTTTTCTTATTTGGAACTCATACAAAAACCGATCATAGCGTCGTGATTCCTTAGTCTGCATGTTTTATTCTGAAATTATTCACATAGTCAAGAAAATTAGCAGCTAATAACTCTCAAGCATCCACCTGCAGCTCCGGATGCTCTTCTCACCTCTAGATCCACATTTCATTTCCCCTCACCCCAACTCTGCGTCCACCACCATCTGCCAGTCACCCAAGCGGGAACAGTCAAGGTAGATGCAGCTCCTCCTCGCTCCCGTGGCCAGTTCCACCTCTGTGGGCCTGAAGCCAACTCTTGCTCTGCCCTGCCTAGACCTCGTCACCTCCCACCTCCCATCGGGACCGTGGCACCAGGACCCTCCCTGGAGCCCTTCCCATTCCTTACACTATCCTCCCTGTGGGCGCCTGCCTTGCTGTGTTTGAAGCACACCTGGTAGGGCTCCTTCCCTGCTAACTCTCCTCAGGATTCCCGAGTCTCTGTTCCTCATTCTAGTGCTCAAAGCCCTTCCTGATGTCTTCTCAGGGCTCCTTGTTCCCAGGTCCCTCCTGGCCAGGCACACTGTTCCTTGAACTTGCCCCCTCCAGCCTCACCACCCATTGGCCTGGCCAAGACCGTTTCTTCTCTTTATGAAATGGCCTCATGCCCAGTGCTCCACTTCCAAGCAAGCATGCCATCAGTCCCCAGGTCGGGCCGTCTTGGTTCCTTTGTACCTGCTTTCCCCAGCTCTGGCTGCCTGGCACTTCTCTGGCACACTTTAAAAATCCACCAAAGTGTCTCCCTAACCATGCTGATGCAATCCTTCCCGCCTAGCTCCCGCCCTTGGGTGATCCCCCATCCTGCCCTGCACTGACTTCCGTGCCTGCCTCTGTATTCTGTGAGCTGACGGAAGGCCTGGGCCACGACTCATTCTTATTTCCGTAAGACCTGGCACATATTGGGTGCTTGGGGGAATGTTTTATTGAATTTGTTGAATGGGGAAAGTTTGCTTTTAACAGCAATGTGAGCCCCAAAGAAAATATCAAAGTTGTGAAGCTTCATAACCTATGAGCCCTTTTAAATGGGAAAGAAGATCAGAAGAGAAACCTTGTTTGACAGCCCAGCCCAGCTGGCCCTCTTCTCATACCGGTCTGAGAAGCCAGCCTCTGGGAAAGAGATCTCCCTCGTGTGAACAGAAAGTCAAGAAGTCCTGTCCACAGTTGCTTCCAGGTGGTCAGAGGACAGAACCAGAGTGGCATGAAGGGAACTCCCCTCAGAGTCCAACAGAGTGGAGGGCTTGGGGGAAACAAACTGCACAGAGGAGGGGCCTGATTCCCTGGGAGGCTAACATGCCCACGAGTGAGAGATTTTCCTCCAGCAAAAATGGTTTTGTCATCGTCACCTTGAACTTCAGACAGTAAATAAAAGTCAGGTGGTTACTTTTCGGATGAAATAAAGTGTTTTTTTTTCCACGAAGGTTATCGGAAGACAAATGAGAAAAAAAAAGTCACACTCTTCCTGTAAATTAGCTCTTAAATTGCTGGGTGAGTGGCAGTCACTGACAGGTAAGCACTTGGGAAGTTTTTGTTTGAGGGAAGGTTTGGAAACGTGAGGCTTGAATACACCATGTAACCATGAAAATGGCCCAGAGGACCCAGTTGCAGACTGTCCCAAATTTGTGATCTTGTTTGTCTTCTGCAACTCTGTGAGTTAGACTGTGGTTGTACTCCTGCTCCAGATGGGGAAACTGAGGCTCAGAAACCTCTTGGAGCTGTCTGAACCAGGATTATAAATCAGTTCCTCCAATCCAACACGCCTTCTATTTTATCACCCCTTTATTTTAAGCCACATCATGATTTATGTTGCAGGTTACAAAACCTTAAATGATGTTTTTTATTTTAGATGTTAAAGAGCTTTACTTTTTAGATTGTAAAAGTAATTCATGCTTTTTGTAGACATGTTGAGAAATGCATAAAGGAATCAAAATCATTTCTAATCCCACAACTCAGAGATTAACACTATCAATATTTTGATATCTTATCTATATTTATAGATGGGATAACATTATGTGTAAGTTAAATCCTTTTTGCACATTACAAGCACCTTCCCATGGCATTTACATGTTTTCATGAGCATATTTCTCCTGAACATGCAGCATTTTGTATTCAGCCTGGACCAAAATGTAATTAACCATTTGTGCTCAGTTACCGCTCACATGGACTGTCATTTGATTAAATACAGTCTAGCCATCTGTCCCCTGAGTAATATGCTCTTTCCGAAGCATCACATGTCACAGCTACATTAGCTTTGGAGATCACTCTGGCCAGGGATATCATTTTGTTGTGTAAAAACATAGACAACACAATATCCACTGTTTTAGCCACTTCGAAGTGTCCAATGCAGTGGTGTTTAGTAGATTTACAGTATCGTGTAACCACCATCACTATCTAGTTCCAGGACATTTTCACAACGATGTCATTTTAGAGAAGAACTTTAAACCCAGGTGGACAGGGACACCCGCAGCAGTGGTCATTTAATCAGCACATGGTCCAGGGTGGTGACTTAGCATGGGCTGCCGTGGTGATGGGGACCCTCACCACCTCCATGCTGAACAGGTTTTCCTGACAGTGTGCCAGAGGATGTCCCCTCAGGAGTCCGCCTGTGTCCCATCCTACCCTGGAGCTGACAGAATGAGTTTGTTTCCTCTTCTACCCTGTAGCATTTCACATTTCTTTCAAGGGTTTCTGTGTCTACTGAGGGCTACCAGTCCCCACCCTTCCTGAATCTCAATTAATAACCCCAGGACAAAAAGATGGCCACAGATGTCACGCTCCTGGATTCCAAACCACACTTCACAGGGAAGTGTTTTTATTCAACTGGAAGAATGCACTAAAGACATAGCTGATATATAAGAGGAAATAAAACAATGAGAAATGGTCTCTTTGCTGGAGATAATTGCAATTATCACATTGAGATCCAAGCCATCACAAATACTGAAAATCCTGTTTTTACTTAATAGCATTTTAATGGAAATGTCAGGCTTATGAAATAAAAGTGACTGGTAAAGAAAATATAAATCAAGCTTACTAGTCCTTTGGGATCGTTTTTTAAAAATTGAATTTGGTATATCCTCGAATCATTAAAATAGGGGAAAGAATCCTGGGATGTTTTATCTGTTATTATTTTTCAAATAAAATGGAATTCTTTTTTTCATTAAAACTCTTGTGAAAAACCACCGATCTCTATTTTGCCTGGAAAGCTTACTGTTAAAAATTGCCACCATTTATTGGGACCTACTATATGTCACACATATTGTGCCGAGCTGTTTACCTCTATGCTAATTGGCTTCTCATGATGGTCCTATGAGATAGGTGGAAATGATTCCCATTTTGCAGATTAGGAATCCGAGGTAAAACAAGGGTAAACACTTGCCCAAACTCACACGACCAGTCATGGGCTCAGGATTTGTGGTTGGGACTCTCTAACTCCATGCCCCTCTTAGGCCCCTCTATCAGTTTACCATATCATTCTTATACTATTTGATTTAAATCAAACCAAATCTTTCTTATGTATGAACCATATGCTTTCCCAGAAATTAACAAAGTCAGGAGGTAGATACGGATATGATGAGGTCAAATTCTAGCTTCAGAGGGTTTGCTTGAATTCTCTCTTAACAGAAATAATGTCCATCTCCGTGCCATCAATCATTTACGTAGGCATGAAAATATTCCCAAGCACTCCCACATCCCCAGGGTCTCTGGGTGACGTGGACAGAGTCCCTGCCACCCAGAAGCATGTGACCAGGCACAGGGGGACGAGCACCTACTCAGAGATGACTTGGTAGAGACACGACGAGGCAGCCAGCTCTTAGTCTCGTCTTTCAGGGAAATGCAGCTTGGCTTGGTGGTGCCGGGATGAGGACGTGGTAGATTTCGAGGAGTGGCAAGATCTGAACTGTGAGGAAGATGCCAGAGGAGAGTGGGAGAGTGGGCCATTTGGAAGCTGATGGAATAGTCTAGATCAACCATTTGGAAGGTGTGGTCGCTGGACCAACTGAATCAGCTCCTCCTGAGACACTGTTGGACATGTAACTGGTGGGAATCAGCCCAGACTTACAGATTTAGCACCTGGGAGTGGGCGGGGCAACCTATTCCAGCAAGCCCTGCGTGTAGCTCTGCGCAGGCTGGAGTCGAAGAATCTCTGGTCTAGGTGAAAGGAGAAGACACCTGAACTAGGGCACCTGCGCTGGCGTAGAGCCAGGGAGCTGACGCGGGAGACACTTCATATACAGATTTGGCAGCCTGGGCTGGAATGCAGGGATGAAAAGGCAGAGAACACCCTGGATTGTGCTCCTGCAATTCTGTGGCTGGGCAGGACAGCCTGGTGGGCAGTGTTGCCTCGTGGCAGAGAAAGGTAAGCAGGCCCCTTCCCCTGCTATGTGGCCAAGATGTGTCCTTCTGTCACTCGATTTCGAATGTGCATGTTTCTTGTTGGCATTCCTGAAAGAAAATGCTAACCATGCGCCAAAGAAGTCCCTTAAATTAGGCCTGCAGC